ATAGCAATCCTACAGCCGAGAGCACTGGAAAGCTCCTGAGGGCAAAAGTGCAGATGATGAACACCTCAGAAAGGCTGAGTGACTCTGGCTGCCTTTTGATGGGGAAGCAGCTCTGCCCACATCTTCTCCCCTACCTAAAAAGAGGGGATGATGTCACTTTGCTCTGATATCACGTAACATCTACTCCTAAGGTAGCTTACTAGTATCACAGGGTGATCTTACAGGTCTGGTGAGACTCTGTCTCGCTACAGTGGTCCGTTTGTCTGCGAGCACCGTGTGCTCCAGCCTTTGCCTCTGCAGACGTAGGACATCTGTGAAGTCAGCGGTTTTCATCACCGTTAGGACGGTTCATCTGGCTGCTGTAGGCAGTGACATCATGTCATGTGCCTGGGTGAGATACTTGTCACGTGAGCAGGGGAAGGGTTTCTCTAATGGTCAACACAGTGTAGACTGGAGATTTGTATGCCATGTTCCTGTTACAAGAAAAAAAAAATCTATGTTGGGGCACATTCTGGGAGCTGCCAAAGTAACAGAAATACCAATTTATAAGGCAAGGTTTAGGATGGCTCATTAATCCCTTTTTTCTTTCCTACTTAGAATATAGATTGTCAGCGAAATCAGTGGCAAAAACGTTGATCATATTGTCAACTCTGTTAAGATGAGTGTTTTGGAAGGAGGGCGGGCAGATGGAAGCATGGTCTCTGGGACCAGTGTCAGCCTTTTCTGGTGAGGAGGCAGCGAGTGAGCTGTTTCCAGGTCAGTGCTGTGTGCTGATCTAACACTTGAGCTGGGCAAGAGGTGGGCAAGGCGCACGGGGCGAGCACAGCACGCATTGCCAAGCTGGGAGAAACAGCATTTCCCCTGGCATGGGCAAGTTCAGACCGCTGACAGAGCCACGCCTTTGTTCAGGCTCCTGATTCAGTGCGCTAAACTGGGGAGGTGCCAAGGAAACTCCTTGATTAATCACTTCACCGGCTCTTTAGACACAAATAAACAAAAAAATGTTCAGCTTCCATGAAGGTGAAAAAGAGAGACAGAAACTGATTGTGGCCAAGATTACACGAGAAGATTTCAAGCCAAAATAAAACTGTTATCTTGAATTTCTACAGTGATTTCTTTCTCCTCCGCAAGCCTTTACTTTTTCGTCCTGCTATAGCTGTAGGGAATGCCCAGTTTCCCTGTTTTGGACCCTGCGGCATCACAGGTTGCTTCCGATTATTCACAGAAGCGGCAGGGCAGTGAGGCTAGGCTTGTTGTCTGTGGGGAAGCAGGACACAGGCTGTAGGCAAGGCTGATGAATCCTTTGGCGTTGGGACAGTCTTGCTAATGTAAATGCGAAGCCAAAGCCAGAACTTGCACCCTTTTGTTCCAGGATGTGTGACCGAGGATACAGCCTAGGCTAATCCCTGCTGACCCCGAGAGAGAGGAAGCAGACTCCTCACACCAAGGGGTAGCCTGTCCCTGTTCTGGAATTCTCACAGGAACTTTGCTTTTCTGCCAAGCCATGAGCCCTCTCCAGCTCAACATCTTGCAGTCAGTAACTTTTTTTTCAAGTGCCTTTCGCATCAGCAGCTTCATGGTTCAAAATTCTTCCTGGTCCTGCACAGGGTTTGTCCCTGCCAAGGATCTTCCAACCGTCACGGGGTTTTTAGATGAGTGTTGGGCGCTGCTGCAAGGGTAGCTGGATTAGGAAGTTTTGGGAGGTGACTCAGCGCAGAGCTTGGATGAGCTCAGCCCCTCCTGACTTCTGCCTCTTGCCCTGAACATCCTGCCTGGCTCAAAGCTTCCTCATCCAGGGTGATGCATTTAGAGTAGCCAGCCACTGCCGTCTAAGGGGAATGAATTTGTGTTATACACGGCTGAGTGAAAAAACATTTAGCAAGTGGCTTTTCCTTTTCTCTCAGCCACGGGAGATGATATTTCTGGACATCCAGTGGTCTGCGGGGGAAGCAACGCACCTACAGCTCACAGCTAGTTAAATCCCGCAGGGCACAGCAGGACCAGCTCACCCGCTGCACATTTCATGTATTTGTTGGGGTATGTGCTAGTGCTTGAAGTCTGACAAACTGCACATCTGATTCAAAGCGGTGAGGTGATTCATTGTCCCACAGACATTAACTCCTCAAAGTCTTTCTCCTGAAATGACTTGCACATCAGAAACCGTATGTGGGTTAGGAACACCGCCGGGTTCCCAGAACAGTGCAGCCCTGAGGTCACAGTTTTGTCATTGCAGAAGATCTGTGAAAGAAACGTTTTGGTCTGGCGTCAGCTCAATGCTAAAATATGCCACCTTGGGGAGTAAAGATAACCTCTTGGCATCTGTCGGCCCGTTCCCTGCCGTGTCCTGACTAGGCTGCTGGGTCGGCTTCTGGTTCATTTTAATGCCATGGGAAGAAAGTCCTATTTTCGGTATTGCCCTGTATTGTCCGTCATTTGGTGAATGCACATGGATTCCTTTGTTTCATTTGCCTGCCTGAAGTGGTGCTTCTAACTGGCCCGCCCTGGATGGCCGGTTTGCTCAAGGCCAAGCTTGGCTTTGTCCAAAGCTGGGATGAAGCACTGAGAGACAAGCGAGCAGGGTCCCTCTGCTAGGAGCTGTTTCTGACCCAGTGATGGAGACGTGACACGTGCCAAAGAGCACGAGAGCGTTTGGCCTGGTAAAACAACAGACCTAAAACTCAGAGCATCACGCAAGGATGCACACGATCTGTGTCCCATCCTGGTGCAGGGCAGAGAAGGGCCAAGAAACAGCTTTTGCACTTCCACAGCAGGATTTCTCCATTACTGTTTATGCCATCTGGATCACTCCTTTTCAGATCACCTGCATTTCTTCTACATTACGAGCCCCACTGGTGAGGTCTGGATACCTCTCACTCTGACACAAAGCCCACCCAGGGCTGTGTAAACAGGTTTGCAATTTTTTTTCTTCACTCCTTGCTCTATTTGAAAGACACCAGGGACAGTCCGAAGGTTTGGAAGACAGGGAGAGGTGGCAGTACGTGCTAGTGATGGAGTAAGCAGGTGGAGACTTGGCTTCTCTTTACTTTTCCACTGTAAACACTATTTACTTCTTGGTGGTGCAAGATTGGCTAAGACGTTAAATGGATTTAGAAACTATCTCAATAATGCAGAGATGCGATTAAGAATAAAACATCACCTGTGTGGCCTGATCCGTGGTTTTTGTTTGTGATTTGAGTAATATGGTTGCCCAGCTGCGTTTGGAAAGCAGTGCAATAATGGGTCACATTTCTAGCTCCCTACCCATGCTGCTGACTTAGGGGAGGAGGGCTTGAACCCAAGGCTTAAAGCAGTGGAAATGTTGCTTCTACAAGGCTGGCTTATTTTTTTTTTGCCCTTGTCCTGGAGTTGGGCATCAAAGTTTTCCTTAATCTCCAGAGCTTCCTTTGCACGGCTCAGCAGTGGGTTTCAAATCCCACATCCCTCTTGCACCCGATAACCAGCACAGAGCAGCTTCTGGAGTTGACTCTTCTCATTACAGTTAATTCTTAGGGGTTCCTTACACTAAAGGGTAGATGGAAAATTATTTCCAGTGCATTTGTTCTCGTGACTAGTCATGGATTATATTTATTCCTCTCTTCTTGAGTCTTCAGTTTTTCTTTGCTCTTTTTCCTTTGCAGTT